ACTATTGTTCGTGTGTTTGAGAGGCAGAATGAGAGTGTATATATAGCACTTTGGGAGTAGAACAAATAAGGTAAAGAGAATCAAAGTTCAATCAATTAGGGATCAATCAACCAATCACAAAATCAATTTCTATAGGGAAGTCTGGGAAAGACCCCTTTAATTAGGGAATAGTCAATTAACGATCATAACAGGGGGTTCAATTAAGGCAATGAATAAAATCATACCATGTAGGGAGTCAGTAAAAATCACCAAACTACTGTCGACTAATTAAGGCAAGTAAGAAAAATAGGGAAGCAGGTCAAAAATAAGGAAGCCAGTAAAATCCCAGCACATTGATTTTAACAGGGCAGTTAATAGGAAACAATCGGTAAAAATCTTCAAAGAGTACTGATTTCATAGGGAAGAATTATTTGAATCGTTAAATAGAAATCAACTAAGTAAGAAAATTCCACAAAATACTGATTTTAACCGGAAAAATCATTTAGGTATCTAAATAGAATAAGTTAATACGACTGGCTCACGGAGATAAACACAATATCAAAACAAAATCGAAGAAATCAGTATAACACACAGAATCATCTAGGGTTTGAGCATGCATGCGAAAATTAGTCAAGATAGTGAAGAAACAATTAATAGAAACACTGAGAAGTTAGAAAAATCTTTGAAGAAAGGTCTGGGATGAACCTTAATTTCTGAAAGAGTAAACGAAGTCGAAACAATTCATTAAACCAAGAGATTTTTAAAGGAAAACACCCAATAATACTCGAATCGCTTCGGATCTATAAAGATCTGAAAAGATTCGAACAGTAGTGAAACTAGGGTTTTCAAAAAATAGTAGAGATGAAGAGAATCGATCGAAAACCCATGGATTCGTCCTAGAAATAAGAGGAAATGCATAATCACAAACGAAAGTGGCCCGAGACAGGCCGGTAAACAACTTTCAAGCCAGAGCAGGTTGGATTTCCATGAGATCTTCTCAAGGACTCATGAAATCAAACTGCCAGAGGGTATAGGAGACCGGTGGTGGTCGGAGAATGCACGGAAATACCATAGAAGGGAGGTTCTCGCCGGTGACGGCGATTAGGGTTAGGGTGAGTTGAGAGAGAATTGGAGATGAGGGATTCAAGGGTGGCGGGGTGTGACAAATGGGTAGGGTTAGGGGGTCATTTGGATTAAAATGGTAAGAGAGAATAGGGGCCGTTGATCTCAGAGATCAACGGCCAAGATTAGAAGAGGTCTGGGTCGGGTAGGATTTAATTGGGTTAGGTTTGATTTGAATTGGGCTTGGGTTAATAAATTGGATTGGGGGTCCGATTTTGGGTGTAAATTAGGGGCTATTTGTTAAATATCCATTTTACTAAATAAAATAATTTTAAAAATAGCTAATTAAATGATAAAAATAATTTTAATGCATGAAGGTGATTTAAAATAATTATTTGTATCATAAAAATATAAAAAGTTATTTTCCGTATAGATAATGTAGTTATGCATATGTATAGGCTATATATTATTGCAAAATATTCAATTAAAGTCTAAAAATACAAATGTAATTATAAAAAATACAATTAAAATATTTGAACACTTATATGAGCCTAAATGATGAATTTAGATGATTAAATCATCATAAAGTAATATGAGGGATAATTTTGAACATTTATATAATTAAAAATGCTGAAATGTATTGATTTAAGGTCTTTAAAAATTATAGAAAAAAATTGTAAAATACTTGTGCATGCATGTACAATATTTTGAAAGCGAGTATGCACATTTTAAAATATAGGAAAAAAAATTGGGTATCAAGAACTACCGTTGTTCTACATACCCTCTGTAAATCTGTCCTTAACCTAGCATATTTTCCTCCAATACCAGCAACAATCCTTAAGAGGCTTATATTGCCACCAAGAGTTATCCTTTAAGTATATATGATCTATCCTTCATCCATTGACCATCTGCCTTACTAGCAATATTCCATACATACTTGCCTATTGCAGCCTCACTCCATAACACCCCGTTTGTGATTCCCAAGCCTCCCACTTTCTTTGATCTATATGACAAATCTCATGCTATCAGAGGTGCTTAGTTACTCACCTCCTTCCCATCCCATAGGAAGTTCCTGCAAACTGCTATAATATGTTTCATCACTGCCTTTGGTAATAGGAAAATGGAAGCCCAATATGTGTGAACATGCATCAGTACTGAGTTGATAAGTTGCACTCTGCCTGCGTATGATAGGTGCCTTGATCCCCATGTTTTAATTCTTGTTGTCATCTTATCTACTAACATCTCACAGTCTATACCGTTCAGCTTTTTAGTTGAAATTGGAACACCCAGATAATTAAATGGTAAAGTCCCCTTCTGGTAGCCTGTTATATCACATAAATCCAGCAGACTTTGTTGTTCCATATTGGAACTAAAGATATTGGTTTTACCTGCATTCGTGCATAGTCCTGAAGCCCTTGAGAATGTCTAGAGTCCTATAAGCATCAGCAATACTGACTGATATATTCCTTTACAGAACAGCAGAACATCATCAGCAAAATATAAGTGATTCAACTTCTGCCCTTTACATTTTGTGTGATATTCAAACCCCGGCATACTTGCTACCCTCTTCATTATTCTGGAGAACTACTCCATGCATATGACAAAGAGAAGTGGTTATATAGTATCCCCCTGCCTCAATCCACATTTGCCCTGAATATTTCCATATAAGCCCCCACTCAAAGCAATACTGTATTGTGTTGTAGTTATACAGTTCATCACCCATTTAATGAACCTTCCAGGAAAGTTCATAGCATATAACATTTCCTCTACAAATTCCCATTCTACTGTATCATATGCTTTTTTTAGGTCAATTTTAATCGAACAGCTCTTGGTTGTGGCTTTCCTATTGTATAGTCTTACTAAATCTTGACAAATGAGAATGTTCTGCACAATACTTCTACCAGCTGCAAATGCACTTTGATTTTCTAATATTAGCTCAGGGAGGATTATTCTGATCCTATTACAAAGCATCTTTGAAATGATCTTGTATATTGTATTATAGCATACTATTGGCCTGTAATCCCCTACACTGGAGGCATATGCACTTTTTGGTATGAGAGTAATTACTGTGTTATTCCATACTTTAAGAATCTTCCCATCCCTGCAGAATTCTGGCACAGCATCTACCACATCCTTCCCTATAATTTTCCAACCGTCTTTAAAAATTGACTGCCAAACCCATCTGGTCCCGGCGCCTTGTCTCCAGCAACAGCCCATAATGCTTCCTTCACTACCTTCTCAGTAAATTCCCCTAAGAGTTTTGTTCTATACATAGCAGAAACTGTAGGCCCCTGTCTTACCAAGCTGGTACATACATGTTCCCTATCATTTTGTTTGGTTCCCAGCAGGCCTTCATTGAAGGTTATGAATGCCTTAGCTATCTCCTCTAACTCATTTGTGTGTTGTCCATCTGCACTGCCAATAGAGAATATTCTATTGGAATTCCTTCGTGCCTTCATCATGCTATGGGAATTTTTTGTGTTCATGTCTCCTTGAATTAGCCAATGTATTTTGCATTTTTGCCTCAAGAACTGCTCTCTAGCATTATTCCATATTATGCATTCCTAGGATAGGATATCTTCTTCTTCTATCAACTTAGTGTTACATGGGTCCTATTGTATTCTTTCCTGGCATTTTTGGTGCTTCTGCCTTGCCTCATCTGCCTTCCTGTCTACTTCACTAAATCTATCTTTGTTCAGCTCTTGCAAGGTATGTTTGACTTTGTGTAGCTTTCCCACTAATTCAAATATTTTTGTGCCCTTCCTATCAGTCCTCCAACTAACTTTAAGTTTCTCCTTGAAATATGATGCCAAGCTCCACATATTAAAGTACTTGAACATTTTATTTTCCGATCGGTTTCCCTTGTCCCAGCTTATAATGGCTGGACAATGATCAAACAACCTCTCATTCCTGTAATGTACTACTGATGCAGGTAGCTTAAGATTCCACTCCTCATTCACCATTACTCTATCAATTCTACTGAGTACTCTACCCTCTACTTTTCTTGTTTGTCCATGTGAAGAATGCTCCAGTGGATTTAAGGTCCAACAATAAGCATTCCTCAACATATTTTCTTAAACTCTATAATCTCTGCCATTGTGACTGGGCTACCTATTCTCTCCTCCATGTGTGGGACGCAGTTAAAGTCTTCCATTATCGCCCAGCGTTCTTTTATCTGTGCATGGATGTCATTGATTGCCTGCCATAATTCTCTTCTGAGTGTTGCATCATTGAATGCATAAATCATTGTCACATGTAATGTGTTTCCAGTCCCTCTATGATATAATTCACAACACATAAGATGTACTGTTACTCTTATTATGTTGATTTCATATAGCATGGGATTCCATAGAAGCCATATCCTTCCTCTCGGATGTTGGGACAGATTTGTGCTAAACGACCAGCCTTGACATAGGTGAAGAGGCTTGCTGAGTACTTGACTAAATTTCTCCTTTCAACATTACTGAATAAATACGTATTCCACTCGTTTAAATATATAGTTCATTTTTATGACAAATCACCTACATACGGGCTATAGAAAGGAAAAGAAAGGAACTTTAATGTGAAATTTGGCACCTTTTTTCCTTTTATGAATTAGGTCTAAATTAAAATTAAATCATTTTTTGTTTATGGTATCATGGTCTCTAGTTAATTGTCTTGTCATGTTTAGCCAAACTTTTAAAAAATTAGAAGTGCCTTTTTTTAAACGAAATATATTAATTTGATTTGGAAAATTAAGATGTTTATGTCAATGAAAATAAATATTTAAGTGATTTTGTACAACTCGAGGTATTTCCTTTTCACAACTCCTAGATGAAAGTTGATGACTAATGGTTCAGTACCAATAATTGCAATGTATCCATGAAACTCTTATTTTTTAGTTAATATTTAATTTTGGTGTAATGAATTATAATGTTGAATTAGTCATGAAAAATGAGCATTTACTGGACACTGCAAATTTCAAGTGTTGTATTAGAGATTTAAGAGAAACATAGAAATGTCAAAGAAAGAGACCGTCCGGAAAGTAGCAATGAAAGAAAAACGACCTAGATTATTTTCTACAAAAAATAAATATTCTTTATCTGTATAGCCAATAGTATATCAAACAAACTCTTTTTTTAAACAGACTTAGTAATTCAAACAGACTCAATATGCGTTGTTGTCATCTCAGTTTCTGAACTCCTGTTCTTCTGCTTCATTGTTTGTTTGAACTCTCCGTAGAAGTATGAGACGAAGCCCCAAAGAGAAAGAAAAAGGGCAAGGCCCTTTTCACCTGAAAAATTTTCCCTAAAGAAAACTACTGCTAATACCTCAGTAGCCGGAAGTAAAACTGCAATCATAACTCCGGACATCAAAGAAGAAGAGCAATAAATGACTCCAATAACACCCACAAAGAAGCATTGCCAAATAATGGCAGTCCATACAATCACTGTATAATATCTAGCTTCTCCGAGGTTAAATTGTTTTGCCTCCCTTGATATTGCCTGCAAATTTCGACCAATATTTTAATCCTTACTCTTTAAAAAAACATTCTAAAACAAAATTGAAACCGAGGAAGTAACTATGATACATCGTATTCAGGTAAATTTGTTCGAATCTAGTTCTGCTCCAGTTTTTGTATACTTTTGGCATATCCAAATTTATTATAACGTGTTGTGTACTCAAAATGTTTCAGTCAAGCCAAAACCACGATTTTGGTATGCATGCAAAATTTTAGAAATGTATTCCATGACAAAAGAGTTTTCATCCCTCTATGGGATATGAATAATTTAGGGTTTCGAGCTAGTTCCTTCATTAATGTCGTATGGCTAAAGTCAAACTCACAACAAAACAAGCATTAAGTACTTTCAAATGCAAAAATATGTCATTTAATTTGGAATAAGCTAATACAGGAAAAGTTTAAATAATTTACTCTTACACTGTAACTTTTTACCAAGTTATCAATTAATGTATCTTATTGTAAATGACTTAACTATGTAAACAAAATTACTTGACAATGCATAGAATTTAAACCCGCAAAACTATAGTGCCACATATGCGACGGAATGAGTAAGATGCATGGGTAGAAATGAGTTACAGGAGAAGAAAAAAAGTACCTGAAAGTCGTTATTGGCGACCATTCCTACAGTACAAAAAATAGTGGCCGCAAAACACATGACCATCTGAATCTCCAATACCAGTGTAGCAGTAATAGCTTGTTTTGCCTTCAAATAAATTAACTCAATACAAGGCAAAATGACTCCATACAAAGCTGCTGCCAGAAGTGTCATCATAAAACCAAGAATATAGGCTTTACTTATCACACCCTCTGGCCTATCACCATTAGATCGAACACCCAACAAAACAGCACCAAGTGTTAGAAGAACTACTGCATTGATAGAGTAGGGTGTGAACTTCAGCTTCACTATGAAGAAAGCACCTACTGCCGTGAAGGCAAGTTGAGCAGCAAGAAGAAGTGAAGAGGTTGACACAGGAAGTTTTGACCCGCCCCACGAATAGAGAAAATTATCAACACCAGTAACAACACCAATGACGAATGATGCAATGAAAATTCTAGGTGTTATGAAGTAAAACTTGGCATTAGATCCTTCCGATTTTCGACGATAGAAGTATAAGATGGCAAGAGGTATAAAGGTGAGTGGCCATCCAGCAGTTTGTAACCAACTACTAAGCCATATTCTTGAACCTCCCTCAACATAATATAGACGCATCATTAGAGGGCCACCACAGATACCAACAGCAAGTATTAGACAGTTAATCAATAGGAGGATTCTCCTCGTATTGGTGCTTAATCCTTTATCTTCCATTTTTTTATCAAAGAGATTTGGATGCTAAGTTGGAGTATTCTGCTGCTCAGGCTGAATGGTCTTCTTCTGCAAAGGTTTGGATTATTGGACCTCTTGCAGTGATGAGATCTATTTATAATTAAGAAATCTTAGCACATCTCCGCTATTTGTTTCATGACACGGAGTGGCCCCAGTTTAAGAAGGCTTTCTCATGATTAAATTAGTTGCAGCATTAGTAATTTTCTTATGATTCACAAGGGAAGAATATAACAATAAAAAAACATAAAGCAATGACAGACAGTGAGTAATTTTGTTACTATTAAATTGCAGCGTTGAATTTCTAGGAAACCGAGAACGCCCATTATGGGCTATATATGTCATGTAAATAGCCATAACCAAGCTACTGGTCATGGATTCCAACGTGGGTTTTAGTTAAGAATTGATTAATTATGAGTAGTCAACTTTGGTCTTCTGTCTCCCCACTCCCCCACCTCCACCTAACTTGGAGTTGGAGGGACGCGCAACAGTGTTTATACTTGACTTCATTCATATTCTTTTTGCTACTATAACGAAACGACGTGAAACTCGTGGGTGTTTATACTTGACTTCATTCATATTCTTTTTGCTATAATTTAACGAAACGACGTGAGACTCGTGGGTATATGTATTTCTATTCGGAGTATAAACTATTTGAGTTTTTGAAGGACACAACGATCTGAAACCATTTTCTGTATATACCGAACATTTCCATAGTTTTTTTTTTTTTTTTTTTTTGCCTCATAAAATAGTCTGTCACTTCCACGTTTTCTTTTCTCACGTTTGAAGAAAAATGTAATGACCCGGCCGGTCGTTTTGAGAATTAGCATCCCGTTCGGTGGCTTAAGTGCAGCTTCGTATTATGTGTTATGACTTGCGTGCGTGGTCGAATTCGGTTTTCGGATGTTTCAGGATCAATTTGGAAGAAAGATTCTTGTTTTAGAAGCTTAAGCGCCAAGAATTGACCTGAGTTTGACTTTTGTGTAGACGACTCCGAAATGGCATTTTGATGATTCCAATGTCTTTGTATGGTGATTTTTTACTTAGGCGAGTATCCAAATTAGGATTTGGAGGTCGGTAGATAAGTTGATGCAATTTGGCAAAAATTGGCAGAGTTGGAGTTTTGGAAGATTGAGAGGTTTGACCGGGAGTTGAAAGGCGGTTTGAGGTCAGATTTGAGTAATTCTTGTATGGTTGGACTCATTATCGAATGCGTGTTCGGATTTTGTAATTTTGATCGGGTTCCGAGATGCGAGTTCGGGGTTGAATTTTCGAGTTGACTTTTATTTCTCTTTCAAGATCGAAGCATTATTATCCGGAATTAGTTCCTATGATTTTATTTATGATGTTAAGTTATTTTGGCTAGATTTGAGCCGTCCGGAGATTGTTTCACACGAGAAGGTCATTTTAGAGTATCGGTCTAGCTTCTTTGAGGTAAGTATCTTGCCTAACTTTGTGTGGGGGAACCGCCACTTAGGATTTGAGTCATTTGTGCTAATTGTGTCATGTGAAGGCCGTGTACGCGAGGTGACGAGTACGTACTCGGGCTTATTTAATTTGTGGAAATTTGACCGTTTAGGGTTCTTAGGTTCTTATGCCCACTAAAAAGGAAGTAGTCCTATCATGTTAAATCCTCCATTTACTAAATTACCCTAACGTGTCTTATTTGGAGTTGAATGTTTCATGTTTTACCCTTGTTGGCAATAAACCCTTATGTACCTTAATTGAAGTTATTGACGTCCTTTCTGTAATTGCGTATTCTTAATGGAAGTTATTGATGTCTTTTCCGTAAATGCTTAACCTTAATTGAAGTTATCGTTGTCCTTTCCGTAATTGCTTAACCTTAACTGAGTTGCTATTCCTTTCATTGTTCACTTATCCTTATTTGGAGCCATTGATTCATGTTATTTCTCTTATTGTCGAGTGTGCTTATGTGGAATCATTGTTGCACATTATCTCTCCCCGTGTTGAGCTATTCTTGTTGAAACCATTATTCTCTGTTGTGTCTTTCATTGTGAGCTCGTTTTTCTGTTTCTTTGTGTTCTGAAGTCCTTGTGTTGATTTACTTGCCATACTCTCGTGTTGTTGTTGTTGTTGTTGTTGTTGTTGTTGTTGTTGTTGTAATCAGTGTTGTTGAGCCGTGGGCTATTGTCACGCCCCAAACCTGGGGAGGCGTGGCTAGCACCCGGTGCCGCACTGGCCTGAGCGAACCACTCTGTAACTCATGATCATTTGGCCAAAATTAGAACATACATAGGTCGAGTTAGCTAAACTCATTCCTTTCGTAACTATTATGGGCCCACATGGCAACAACTCTTAATGTAGAACTGTAAGCGGGCAACACTGTATCAATAAGCTATCATTCACAAAACATGAATACATATGGGCCGGCAAGGCCTCTGACATACTGTATAAAATGAACATTTGTCTACAAAGCCTCTAAGATTATTTAACATCAAATGGGACAGGGTACCAGGCTACCCATAAGTCTGTAGAAAACTTCTGACACAATGACTCATAGACTCGGCGGCACTCCGAATGAGGTGGAGTCTTACCAATCCTTCGCTGAATGCGAATCTCGTCTACTATAAAGGCTCGTCAAATTGATTATCTATACTTGTAGCCATGAATGCAGCGTTCTCAACAAAAATACGTCATTACGAATAATGTACTGGTAAGGCATGTATATAAATACATAAAGAGCATGGAAGAAAATCTGAATCAATGCAGATTTGACTATTTGTATTCTAGTTAGGAACTCATACACATTGGTTAAAGGGTAAGTGTGAGTTGAGTGATAATTTAGTTTTATAGAATCCACAATTTAATCATTTAATAGTGGAATGGAATGATGTGTATGACGAATATGTAATGATATTTCCCATATCCAGAAGGACCAGGACCTAAAGGATCAGATTCCAATAAACTGTTCTGGCAAACATATACCCCCACATTCTTGTTCGAGAATAAACAAGAAACATAAGTAAAGACACAATGAACTAACAGATCAATTGTCAGGCATCCAACTCACGAGCTAATATCCATAAATACTTGAGCAACTATATAACCAAATGCAATGTCCATTTCCTAATACCCATATCTACCTGTAAGTCTGGAAGGCTCTGTAAATTATGAAGTACTTATAGTGTCATGCACATGTGTATGAATTTCATATCGTGCATAGGTACATGTGTTCATAACATCGTCAAGCCTCTGAGGGCATCCCATCATATCATCTCGGCCATTGTGGGCAAAATCATCAACGTATACCAGCTGATCAGGTGGTGGTGCGTATATAACGCCATAACCTTTCCCATATCCCATATATATATATATACGCGTATATAACGCCATCTGGTCATGGGTCAATGTGCATGTATAAATGCATGAAATGCATATGAAATGCGTTAATAAAATCTCTCGGTACGTCATAAGACCATTATGCCTCTGATTAATACCATAAAGTAAACTTTATCAACTTACGTATTTTTCGAGACCCATGAACAGACGATAGAATAATAAAACATATGGAAATTCAAGAACATAGACATCTCTAATACCTCTATTAATAGATTCATTTATGGAATTTGCGCATTTGCTCGTTTCATCGTGTCTTATAGACTATGTCAAAAAAAAAAGGATAGCCTTAACGTACCAGAGCTTTGATGAAAACAAGCATTGCATCTATGTGTCCCTTGCCATCAATTTGAGAAAATGATACCGGAAAGTCATTTCATTTTACCATAATACATATGTAGCAGTAGTTTTCATGAAAGACCATCAAACTGTAACCATGGCAAAGTAATCCTCAAAAATTTGCATAATTTTACCGCAAATTCGACACTAAAAGATCAATCAACCCCTATGCTCTATTGATTAGTATTTTCTCCCTGTTTTAAATGAACCACAATACTGGTATCTTCTTTAAGCACGGTATCCAAAAGGTTGCACCTTTTAGTCATAATTAAAATGCTAAATGCCACCAAATTCCTTAATGTAACAAATATAGTAAATGACTAATGTCATTGCGTTGAATGGCACCCGCTACCACGTGGGGGTGGTGTGGGAAATTTTAATTTTTATCTACTTATTAGGTAATTAGGTAATGTCCCATTACCCGGTAAGTAACCAATTACCCGTATATATAAGAATTGTCTCAAATTACTTAAAATTCTACTTATTTTTCATAAACGTTATACATCCTACTATCATGTTCATGTTGTATCATATAAAATAAATACATACACTATTACTTTATTAAAACATCCATGTAAAAACACATATTTTCTCAACTTATAATTTTTCTAATCTCAAATAAAGACTAAAAGTTTTTGTACGCTCAATTCTTAAAATGGTAAAAAGATAATCTTCTTTTTTTGTGAGAAAATAATTTCTATCTTTACAATAAAGAAAATTTCATGAATTTTCTCATATTATGTGTATAATTTACCATATTCAAAAATAGTAATAATGGTAACCATCCAAAATTATACTTATAAAACTTTTACTAAAATACTTCACTTAAAAGAAAATACCGCATTAACATAATATCTAACGATATCAAGGCTGTAAACTTACAGGGTCACATAATAATAATGTCTTAAACCCTCTATAACCTCCTAATAGACATAGTCCCTTCGAACTCATGTGGATTTACTATGGCACATCCTAATGCTAAGGTACGGGATGTAACAACTATGCCTTGTTGTGGTATTGAAATTATTTTGAGGAAAAGTTGTGGCATATGGGCATATGTGACGAAAGTCATTATATTGTGTTGTTATGTTTTGGCACACGTGGTATTGCTGAGAGAATTATCGGGGTGTTCGCATGTGAGTTGTCCGTGCTATTGTTATTATTGATAATTGTACATGCGGCGTGACAAGGCGGGAATTTACTTTATTATTGCGCACGTGACGAGACAAGGTGTGCGATGTCGGGGAATGATTTGTGATGACTTGTGATTTCCCGGGGGCATTGTTATTGTTGATATTTATGTAGTGGTGTGCCTACCTTCTGTGAGTTATACCTTGTACATATTGTGGTGATTGTTTCTTATGTGTCATTCATTGTCTCTACTCTTACTTGTTGACTTGAATTGTGA